CGAAAACATTGGTGAATGCCACAAATTCTCCTAAATCACTCGTACGCACAATTTAAGAACAAATCTGTGCGTACGAACGGTTCTTGCATGAGGCCCATTGTTACAACGCATATTTCCTTACTTTTTATGCAAAGTTAATTAGATAAACACACACCTGGTCTTGGTGCAGCAGTCCTTGGTGCATGATGTTGTAGAAGTGTGTGAGAAAATCAGTGTTTGGGGAAACATCTTGTCGTCTTTTCATGATCCTGCAGATAAGTTTGTAGGCGTGAAGCTTCCCCTGCTTGTATCGCTCTGTCAACATGGTGGCCTTAAGCAAGACAGAGGACAAAAACGGAGTGAACATACAAATTATTTCATATTTTTGCACTATATGGTGAACAGTTTTAATACTATTTAATCTGGGAATTTAAATATTAGGAATTCTAGTTATTTCTGGTCCACACCCACCTTAAAAAGCCACGGGGTAAGGATTCTGAGTGGAGGGATCAGAACGGGAGGTGGGGGAGACGATTGGTTGTCCAAAGAAATGCCCAAATTATCTCTAATCTGAAATGAATAACACAATTTTATTTATTTATTTTTAACAATTAAATCCCTAGAAGAAAAAAGTATTTAAATAGTTGAGTTTATCACCTTGGCCAAGTTTTGCCACAGTTCGCACAAATAGTCGAAGACCTGAGCGTGAATTTCTGGGTCCTTGATGCCATTAACATCTCCCAGGATACCCAGCATCCTCCTCCACATGACCGTGGCAACATCTGCGTGCCATCCAGTTAGAGAACCGCCTGCCATCACACTGCAGTCCTCAGAGGGGAACTCGCTTGTTTCTAGAACAAATCAATAAGTCAGTCGGGGACTCTTGTTTCACTAAAAGCTGAAGTCTGACAGAGAACAATTTAGGTGATTTTTTATTTTTTATATACAGAATAACTGAATTTCTATTTGTGCAAGAAAAACATGTGTGTAAGCATTCTTATGTGCAAGATTATTACCCAGATCGTCAGGTGTCTGCAGGACAGAGTTGTGGAGTTTCTGGTCCAGCTGTAAGTGTGTGTGTGAGTGTGTGTGATCAGCGTGCTCGGCTGTCAGAGTGGCGGGGGAGGGGGTCTGGGAACGGGAGCCCCCGAGGGAATGCATAGGTGAGGCACTTTCAGAACCTAACCAAGAAATAGCACACGACACGGAAAAACTGATTCGTTTTGCCTCCGATCTTTGAAATAAATACGTTTAAAAGTTCTTTTCTTTTTAATGTTTTTGTTGACGTGTACATACCAGTAACAGTGACCGTGTGGCTGAGGCTGCTGGTCTCTGAGTCGATGTGAAGCGTCGTCAAACTGGCTACTTCGTGTTCCTCGCTGGCCAGACCTCCACCCAGACTATCCTGGTCCACCGAGCTGCCTCGACCACCTCCTCCAGACCCACCTCCTCCTCCACACGTATCTGAACTAAAAGCAAAATCTGCAAACCAAAACAAACAAATGCATATTAACCTTTAAGGTATGAAGTTAATTTAACCCATCAAATGCTGCTCTGAATATTGCTTTTTATTTTAATCACAAGGATCTCTTTAAAAAATGTCTTTAAACATTAAAACCAAAAAGACATTTTTACTCTACAATATTCTAAAGCAATAATATAATATTCTTAAGTAGATGAGGATAAAGATTTTTTTTAATCTAAAGCAGAGGTTCTCGAATGTTTTGGGTCTGGAGACCCCTTGCGAAGGTGAAAATTTCCAGGGACCCCTTCATAAACTTGATGCTGTTTTAAAAATAATTTATCCCTGAATGCTCTGGGAATAATTGTTTGATATGTTTGTTTTACTTGTACATGCTAAAAAAACTTAATGTAATTTTTGAGGACCCCCAAGCTACAGCTCATGGACCTCTGGGGGCCCTGGGTCCCCAATTTGAGAACCCTTGATCTAAAGAAGCCAAATGCAATTTTAAAACCATTTTAAAAGATTAAAAAAAACTTTTTTAATGAATATTCTTCATCAAACACTACATCCTCATTTCAAGCAATATGTTTTATTAGATACTATGTCTAAGTAAACATACAGACACATAAAAATCACAATTACCTCCTAGTTTCTAAAAAACCATGTCTAAGCAGAGCTGAATAAAACTACAAAAGGCAGAAAATTGTCTGCTTTTGTGAAACAGAGTTTAAAAATTCAAGAGACCTTCTTTCGGGATCTTTGACTGTCATAAGTTTATTTCATACTTTATTTTCTGGTGAAAACATTTCCCAGAATTCTAAAAATTATATAAATACTGAGAAAATAC